CTCAACTCTGTCAATGAGTCTCCCCATGAGCGCATGCATCACCACATAGAGCTGGCCTGGGCCTTCTCCACGGTCATCGGCACCCTCCTCTTTCTCACCGAGGTGATGCTCCTGTGCTGGGTCAAGTTCTTGCCCCTCAAAAGCAACACGGAAGACAAAAACAACAGCATAAGCTCTGGTCAGGCTGCAGCCATCGCCTCCACCTGCATCATGGTGCCCTTTGGGATCGTTTTCATCATGTTCGCTGTGCACTTTTACCGCACGCTCGTCAGTCACAAAACGGACCGTCAGATCCGAGAGCTGGAGCAAGTCATCCGGCTGCAGAACCAGCTCGATCACCGGACCGAGAACGAAGACCTGAAGTCTTCTGTCCATTTCCCTTGATAAGAGCCAATGAGAATATAACTGCAGCTGACATTGAGCAAGGGTTTTCTCCGGAAATCTCTTTTTACTGTAAAGCTTTATTTTTTAATGTCTAGACATTTATGTCTATGGACTGGGCTTATTTTTTTAATTTGAAAGTGTCCTTTGTGGAGTGTTATAGTTTTCAAACCAATGCTTGGATGGTGCATGTTTAGGAAATAGTTGCACCTTTTTCCTGAAGGTACATCTTTTGCTCTCAGGCATTCGTATTTTAGTGGTTTTAATGGTGGCATATCATGACACTTCAGAAAATCTGTATCACTTGTGAACCTGAGGACATCCCATCAGATCAAAACAGTGACAATGATTAAGTGACAGCATGCTTCTTCCACACAAAAGACCAGAGCTGGTTTAAATGCCCTCTGTCTGTGAGGTGAAATATTTTCAGAATGTGAAGGATGAATGTTCTTTTTTTTTTGATGGAGGTTAACTATTGAATTTAGCTCCATTGCAACCTCATGTTGAAACGTTCATACGGTTGATAAACTTGGTGTCTCTAGTTGTCACGTGTACCTGGCTTCAGATAAGGCTTTGAATGGAGCTGAACCAAGCCTTAATTATCAATACATTATTCAATTATCTTGCTTTAATATCATCAGAAAGGCTATGCATGCTGTAAACCCAAAATGTGTTATTGCACTGAAGCGTTTCTTCGTGACTTTTCTTTTTTACTTAGCTGTTAGCGGTTGGTTTTGGTCTATCAAATGTTTACATTCAATTTCCCTCACCTAGATTTCCAGTCCTCTGAAAACTCAATATATCTTACTCTATTTCTGTTGTCCTCCATTTTTTATTATTTATAGTAAGGGACAATCAGTTAGGTTGTTGTTTTATGTGTTCGAGATTCATTTTCTTCCTTCAGAGGAGTCATCTTCTCATGAAATCAGTCTTGGGTAAAAAAAAGAGATCTCTGCTACATTTCCCATTGCTTTTGTAATTCTACTATCCGCTTATGTATACAATAATTACTGGCTTTGTACTCATGGAGCGTTAGTATAAAGCACTCATGTATTGAAACACTTGTGCTTTGTACTTTTTGTAGTTCATGAGTCACAGCATGTTGACATGTTGTTTAGGTTACACATTTTGAGGCCCAAAGATGTTTAAGTGTGAAGTTTGGTTTGTTCTTTTTGTCCTGTGGTACATTGCTGAGTTTGTTTGCATGTGTTTGCTCTGAAAAAACGATTCTTTACATAGGTACAAACATGTCACAGTGTTATGATGACAGCATATTCTAATTGATATATAGGCTATATCCTTTAATAAACTCTTTAAATACTGTATGTTAAACCTGTCACTACACCTGAGAATATATACATTCTGTTCATCATTCATCAGATCATTAAACACACAGTATATCCATTCTAAACTGTATTTAAATAAAGGAGATGCTGTGGTCATTATTGCAATATTATTTGTTTGTATTACCGTCCACATACATGAATCTTATCCTGTGTCATTGTTATGTTACAGACTCCAAACTGTGTATTCAGATTGTACATGAACAATGGTTATATCTTTGACAAGCCATAATTTTAAAGGATTTGTACTGTTGCTCCAAAGTGCTGTTTTTGGTTTTTCTAAAGCGATAACATTTTTTAAAAACAAAGAATAAATTAGTGTCAGCTTTGTTCTCATCATGTGCTCACACTCTGGGACTCTTCTCATGTGAACTGCCACTTCAACCGTTCAGCACCAGATAAGTGCAAAAGAGGGGTCAGGTTTCTTTGTTTCACCTTTGCTGTGTATTTATTTAATCCAGTGTTATGTTACTTTGTATAGAGAAGTATCACTGCTTGTGTTCATACACATGCTAAAAGTGAACTTTTAGTGTGTGTGTGTGTGTGTGTGTGTGTGTGTGTGCGTGCGTGTTGTAAGCAGCCAACAGAGCTGCAGGTTTGTCACCAGGATGTTTTTAGTTGCTTGTTTGAGAATAAAACAGACCAGAGGATTTTTGTGTTATTTATTTTAGACTTGCATTAGAAACAACACAAACAAAACCCAAACTAAATAAGGAAACATTATTTATCTTGTGTTTTAAACTATGAGATCAAAAGGAAAACCACACAGGAAATATGTCCAAATGTGAGGTTAGCCTACTGTAAGAGCAACGGGCATCCAAATGAACTGTGACTCATTCATGTGTGTGCCATTCTCTTGAGTAACAAACGCTATGTTTTGTCAAAAGTATGCAGTTTACGTTTGTAAGAGAGCATGGTTAGTCTCCATGAGTTTGTTTAGCTTCAGTGTTCCTGCATCATTACATCATTATGGAAGGTCACCCGAGTCCGATATTAAAGCTGGATAGGTGTTATTTCTCCTGTGTGTTGCTCAAATACTCAGACTAATGACATCAATCAGAGTAGGTTAAAGGGAATTTAAACCTGCCTAGCCGTGCTCAACCAAAACACTGAAGAAACATACTGTATGTCTGTGACGATATGTTAAATCCTGTTTGACACAGATCTGTATCATGTTAATAATGTGTCTGGATAAATTCAAAAGGAGATAATACTTATCTTGATTAGATTTAAACCTGCAATGGAAACTCGAACTTTAACAACTGTCACAACCTAGATCCTGACTAACAAACTCAGCCACAACCAAAAAAATCAGTGACTCATGTTATTAAATTAAGACCAATGATCCTTAAAGCTAAAGTAAAGGAAGGCTCTCGGATAACCAACGTAACTATCTTTAGATTAACTTGGGACAATTGGGTATGTAAATATTTCCCTCATCAAGAGGAATGTTGCTACACGCCTTCCACGGACCTGGGCTTCCTGTTTAACAAGGAAGTTTTTGAGTCATGAGCGAAAAAAAAAAAAAAGAACTTACTTGCAGGTTCATATTGGTGTCGCCATAATTGTTGCACCTTCAATCAAAACAAATCAAACACAGAAGAGATATATTCCTGGCTGTGAATTATTTTTTGTCCACCAATACCTGTTCTCTGATGTTTGTTTGAATAAAAAGATTTAAATGGGTTTTAGTTTCAAATGAAAATCTTGCACAATTGTCTCCTGAAATAGCAGGCTTGAACTCCTCTCTCTGGCTGCTGTTACCTCTGTTTGCTCCTCCTGATCCTTTGTCGGCCATGTTTAGCTTTTCTAGGATTGATGAGGAAGGAAGCTTCAAGTGTATATTGGTCCTGGCACTGTATCTACTGAAGAGATCACCCAGAGATAAACAGAAACTGAGGCTGCATTAGTTATTACAAAGTCATGATAGAGATGTTGATGTGAAACACTCATACCTGTAAACACATCTATAAATAGTCCCACCTTCGCTTAATCAGCTCCTCCACATTCCTTCCTCCTCAACGGTATTTTAATACGAATATAACTAACTATACATCAATATTATGTCATGTTCTTATACTATATGCGATTGTTTTCATCGTTGTGCTATTTAGTGTTTTTTTTTAATTGACTTATATAAAATGTAAAATACTGTCATCTGGTTCATATGATAGTGATTTATTTGTTCACATTATGTCCTATTATATTCATTATAAGACAAGATAATCGTTTATTATCCCCAGTGAGGAAATTCAAGCACTGCAGCAGTAAAAAGACAAGAAGAAGAGCGTGCATAAAATAATACACAGCAATAAAATAAAAGTACAATGTACAAATTTACAACTATTGAAATACATTGAAATACTAATAATTTATAGACATAGAATTGAATCTTTAGCAAAAATACACAGTCCAAATATACTGTATCTACTTTGTCATTTGAATAATCAGATACTGCACGATATGTTTTGCATTTGGTATAAATTATATTTCAGCTATGTTATGTAATGATATCTTTACTTGCCTTTTATAAAGTATAAAACATTAATCTTAAGGCATTTTATTTCACTTCCATTTGAAATGCTTAAAACTTTATTTAAACATATCCAATTAATAATTCCAACGTCCTACATTTAAAAAGATGAATGTTTTAATTTGATGTAGGCTATTGTTAGCATGTAGTCAAAGTTTTATGTCATGATAAACTGTGATTATACAAATAAAAGGCCTTCACGGTTTCTATAAATTTAACCTATTTCTTTTTTTGTGACGATATTTCAAAAAATTAAAAAAGGTGCATACACTCTTCTGCTGAAGCAGAAAATTCCCACCTGCTAGGTCTACTTGCAAACCTACCTTCCTCTCACATTTTGTGTTCTTCCGCCTTTCTAGGATCTATTTTAGGACTTCTTTTTGCATGCGGATGGATACAGTCTATAACAAGGGCGAAGCAACTGCGAAGAGACCGAAAATAACAACAGCTTTTTCACAATGTTACTCCATCAGAGGATACTCCTTTGGTACAGGTGGGGAAGACTGAACTATTTAAGTACTTTTTCTTTGAGTTTGTTGTAAGTATTTTATTTGACAGCCTGTTATCTTCTTCTTCTATCTAGAGAAGGATAACGTTACAGGTGATGCTCTCCATCACCTGTCGGGGCGTGTTAACCTCCAGTGGGCTGCTGATGTCAGCTAACAGCTGTAGCCTCTTTACCGAGGAACAAATGACAACTTACCGTGTTTATTTTGCTGTCTTTCCAGGATTTGACGAATGTAATGGAAATCGACAAACAAAGTTCTGAAAAAGAGACACAGCCTCAGCACTGGACGAGCTGCAAGTTGATTATTGACCCCGCATTGACAAAAGGACTGTACAAAGTGTACCGTTATGATGGACAATATTATAACATACCCGTGAGCACTTTTTAATATCTGATTATTGTTTGTGCTGCATGGACAATTGTCAGTAAAAAATATGTTCCTGCTTTTATATTTCCCTGAACAACGGCACGTTTTCCATCACAATAATGGATGTTGTTTACCTGAACAGGTGGAGGACTTAGGGCTGTTTCCTGTGGTTACACTCAGAGATCCTCGTATCTGCCGCCTGTGGAGCAAATTCATCAAGACTGACCTTTTACTTCCTAAATTTAAGGTAATTTTGTATGATGGAGAATTCCAAACTCTTTCTTAATGTTTTTTTTTGTTACTAATAGCCTATTACATTGTAAAAAAAAAAGTAATTAAATCAGAAGAATGGTCACTGTCAGATTAATAATACATTCATTACTAATTCACCGACTAAATGGTTAAGAGCTAATATAAACCGTTGTGTATAGGTTTGCTCCTGATGACAATTTTTAATTATAGATTCATTTACATGTAATTTTCCTGATATATTGAGTTCTTAACTTCAGTTAATACTGATAAATGCTCATCAAAATGATCAATTATTATCACATTAACTAGAAAAGTAACACTTTTCAAATGCTTGTTTGCTCTCCAACTCAAAGATAATACAGCAATTGAAAAAGCACAAGTGACAAACTCCTTATGATTATCATTATATTATTTCATTTATAAAGGCATCATAACGCTTTATTTTGTCTTGTTGCGGTTAATCCATGACACGTAGGCTCCCGTATGGTAGGTATAGTTTCCAATAACAAGTATCTAATACGTTTGGGTGTGTAAATAAACAGTATTAACTTCTGATATGACGTTAGCAAAATTTCTAAAGTTGCATGGAAAAATCGTGTACGTGCCCCATGTATGGAGGCTGTGGCCCTCCAAGCGGGACAATTGCCTCATGTCATTCTCCACTCTGTCTCTCCCCGATTGCTGACTATATCCACTATCCGTTCTCTAAATAAAGGCATGAGAAGCTCCCAAAAATAAACCTTTAAAAAAGAGAGACAATAGTTGTTTACCCTTTTCTTTTCAGGTTGATGGGTGGTATATCGACCCTGTTCCTCCCAAAGAAGTGACATTCTCCAGGTTGAACGACAATGTAAGGGAGGCGTTCTTGACTAATATGTGCAAAAAACATGGGAACGTTGAAGAAGTGCAAATATTTTTCAGTCCAAAGAACAACAAGCACTTAGGGCTCGCAAAGGTCGTCTTCGACACAGTGAAGGCTGCTAAAGAAGCTGTTCAGCACCTGCATCAGACATCAGTGATGGGAAATATTATTCATGTGGAAATCGATCCGAAAGGTAACATTGGCTTTAAGAATAACTTGCAATTTATGTACTCAGTCGACATTTTGTGGAATTGTATGATAATTGAAACGTATATCCTTCCTCAGGAGAAAACAGGGCTCGATACCTCCAGCTCCTCTTACAAGGCCTCTACACTCCGTGGACGTTGCCAGTGGGCAGCAGTGAGGGAGCTCTTCAAAGCTTAATCGACAGCTTACTGGTAAACATTTACTGCTGGTTATCATTTCTGGTTTGAATTTCAAGGAATAATGGAATTTAGTATTTTTAAACAAATAGATTTGTTAGGCATCATGTTTCCCATCTGTTATTTAAAACAAATGTGTTTTGTATTTTTCTTTTGTATAAAAAAAACACAAATTGGAACATAGATTAAAATTTACAATCATTGTCCCACTCCCTCAGCAATTCATTTTAAGGTCAAAATAAGTGGCAGATTTAGAATTATTTACCTTGGATTCCCCAAAAGATGTAATTAAATCATCAAGAATTTGGTCAACACAGGAGAAATAACACATATTTTAGACAGATACATAATAATATCATCTGTAAAAAATAACATGATCAAATTTGTCTGTTTTCATGCCCTGTATTCATGTCATGTTGCCTTTTTTATCCATCCACTCTGCATCCATATAGGGGAGCACAGCTACCCAGAGACAGGCGAGTATCTCCAGCCCCACCAGCATCGCTACCCCCCTGTCTTTGGACACCGCTTACTCGAGTATTTGGCACGATACACCCTGCAGCTTTGGGCTCACACCGCGTTCTCAGGGAACCCCCCGCACTCCTTGCTTCTCTGCTACTCCTCTCTCACAGGACTCCTGCTACTCCAGTCTTCAGGCGACTCCAGTCCTCCTGGGGGAGCCCTCTACATATAGTGTTCACAAACCGTCAATAAGACGAGAGCTCTGCCATGGTAAACCTGCGAGGTATCACAGGGGATCCGGCGAAGTCTCAGATGCCAACTTCATTTTAAAGCATTGGCAACCACAGCCAACACACACACCAAACACGACTCAGATACCAACCAGCAGGCAGCAGCTCACACTGTGGGGTCAAAATGAAAAATCATCTTCTCTGGATGATACAGAGCCTTCCTTTGACATTGTCTCCCCTTTTGAAGAGTCCAGAGAAGTACTCAGCACTACATCCAAGTCTTTAATCCACAAGTCTTTTAGCATCATGAGCATTCAATTAACGGCTAACCAGCAGACAGCAAATAATGAAAGTAGTTACATAACAAACTTGTCTCCACCTGATGCTGACTTTTCCTGTGTCAGCCCTCATCCAGAGGTTGAGAGTTTGGACTCTCGCATTGAAAGTTTACTAATAAACAGCCAGAATACTAATCCTTCATACTTTGTTAGAAGGACAGATTTGGACTCTGAGGACAGCCCAGCATCGCCCTGCTCACCAGGGTCTCCTTGTGGATCCTACAAAGCAGACCATCAGCACTTCTGCAACAATACAGGGGATGCCAGTTCAGCTTGGCTAGAAAATGAAGACGATGAAACTGCGGAAGCTGTTTCATTTCTCACAAGGAACTCCCAATCTCCCAATCCTTCTGATTTCACACATTTGGAAAGGAGGGCTCACATAAACAATGAACATCGGGCAAAAAATGAAGACGAAGGACCACCTGGAGCTTTGACACCCACACCAGAGATCCTCTCTCGTCCTCTGCCTCCACCTTTCTCTTCTCTTAAGAGCACCACTCCTCTTCATGCTCCTCCTGTCATTAGACCCAGATCTTGCCATCCACCAGTGCCCCCTTTTCCCTTCCCTATCCCTCCCTTTCCTCCACCTGTCCCACCTCGCTTGCCAAATGGTACCATCCCCATCCCACCTCCAGGCTGGATCCCACCTCCAGGTCATCACCCCCCGATCCCCATTCCTCCTCCCCATATTCCCCCTCCTCCTTCAATCCCCCCTCCACTACCTTTTCTAAGACCCCCTCCACCTTTAATGCTGCTTCCTTCTGTTCCCCCTCCTGCGCCCACCTTCCCCATTCAGCCTATAGGAGGTTTAGATAAGGGGACTGCTCTAAGGCCTGGCAGCACACCTTTACCTTTACCTCAACCTCCCTGGCCAGCTCCACCTTTTCCCAGGTTTAACCCCTTTGTGCCACCTCCAGGCTTCCCACTCCTGCGGGAAAATCCTCACAAGGTCACAATAGAAAAAGTTCTCGAAGTATTTATGGATGAACTGAGGTCGATCATTAAGAAGGACATAACACGACGAATGATTGAAGGTGTCGCTTTCAAGGCGTTTGAGGACTGGTGGGATTGTCTAGAGGAGAAAACAAAGGTGAGTTCTTTACATCCTTATTTTTTCACTGTGGTCAACCAAATCAAATAAAGGAGTCATTTTTCTGTGCTTAATGTTAATGCACTTTTGGAGCCTAAAGTTTCTTAATTTATACATTTTTTTTTACAACTAAGATACTAGTTTCTCCTTTGAAAAATGGGTCACTGAGTGCTGAAAAGAGGACCAAACTAATAGATCCAGTCAGTCACATCAGGGGCCAAGGCAGAAAACCTCCTCTGCCATCCTTCAAGGTAGCTGTTCTGATTACATGAAGCAAACTCATCATTGATCTCTGAGTTATGCATGGCATGATGTAATGTAAAATGATATCTTGTTGTGCAGGTAAAAAGGAAAAAAGATGATCCAGCTTCATCAGAAAAGACAGATAATGTTTTGTGTTCTAATCATGAACGTTCTGGTGAGTATGATAACACAGTGAGGCTTCATTTAACTTTAACTTTCTATTGTAGCCTGTTGCTTGATTTGATGTGTGCGGTGCTCTTTCCATGTGGTTTTTTAGAAGTGCAGCAGGGGGTGAACACATGTAGACCTGCATCTGAGAGAGCCAAACGCAGACATGCAAGACCACATGCGCTGGATAGTGAAGATGATGATGATGATGATGATGGAGATGAGGGGAACTCAGAAGAAGGCACACTTCAAGATAAAGAAATAACATCAAACAAAGTTGAGGATATTTTGCCAGTTGATGATGATCCTCAGATCACGGTAAATAGAGATATTACGTTAAAAAGTATGTCTGTATATTGAAATGATGAAAGAGTCAATAACTGGTGTTGCTATTAGTCCAACAGAGAGGATCATGACGCAAGTGATGATAGAAATCAACCCGAGGAAGATGAGGAGTTTGCACAACAACACACAGAGGATGAAGATGCTGTCATCTGCCAAACTAGTGAAGGAGAACAGAGTTTAGGCAGTGGTATGTTTAAAGGTCACTCAGTTGCAACACTGAACACTTGTGTATGATCACACACCTTTAAGTACAGTATGGCTTTGTTTCTTTTCTAATATTTCTACTACAGAGACTTGTTCAGAGAGCAGCTTGTCGGAGGAAAGCGAGTGCTCATCAAACTTGGACTCCTCTGACTCGTTCACCTCAGAGAGCTTCGAGGACTCGTCAGACTCAGACCTCAGTCCCGAAGAAGACACAGAGGGCAACGAGGACGACAGGAGCGGTGACTGTATCATTATATCGTCAGATGAAGAGTCAATGGAGCTTGAACCACCCGTCACACCCTCTGCCCCGTTAACACCTGGTGCTCAGTTGGAGCTGGAGCTGCAGGACTGGTCTACTCCATCTCATAGGGAAGAAACTGAGGAGAACGAGTTCACATCCTTTCAGCAAGAAATACGTGATTTAGATACCATGATGGAGCTCCAACCCAGCAAACCCCAGGAGATTCTTCATCCCCTGTCGCCTATTGGACTCCCAGGTTATCAGTCTTGTATGATTTTTGAGTAGTAAATGGAAATATTTCATACCTTAGGACATTTAAGAAATATTTTAAGATACTAAATAGGGATTCAAAAAGACTGAAATTAATTCTGATGCATCTATATGACCTCCAAATCAAACCATCAGCAACAAGATTGATTATCTATAATTATTGTTAAAGCCTGAAACGGCTACCAATGGGTCTGTGTCGTCAAGGCTATTTGACAGCATGCCGCAGAAAACCAAATTTGTTCCCTTTTTCTGCAAAAAGTATTCACAATGATGTGACATGATTGGCTGTTAAAATACAGCAGGGTTATGTTTTGTCAGAAACACAACCTATGCATGTTAAGGACAAGTTAAGCTAATAGATAAGACATAAAGCTTTTAGCACAGGGGTTCTCTCTGTAGCTTTAAGAAAGCAATAGAGAAAAACAATCTGAAGACAGAAGCTTCCAAATGTATTACTGTATTAAAGTTTTTTTTGTTATTTATCTGTGCAGCAGCAGAGCCACACCTCGATGTGGAAATGGAGAGCCCTGAATGGAGGATAGAGCCACTTGAGAACATGGAAAACCTGAGGCCTCTAACCCCTTCAGGCTACGTATTGGACAGTGACCCTGACCTTCTGTTAGGAAGTAAGCCAACATCTCCAGCTGTGGAGGAGGTGGAACGACCACAAACACCAGGCAGGGGGATAGTGGAAGTACTGGAAAGGGAGGACTCTGCAGAAGAAGTCCTCTCTCTCTCTCCAACAAGCTCTGAGCTTGTTCTTGCTCTCTCTGATCCCCTGCCATCATACCCATCATATCAGGAAAGGCCTAAAACTCCTGGTAGAGAGGACAGAAGATGGACTCTCTGCAGCTCAGTTAGAGCTCCAGCAACACCAGGCAGAGAGACCATCTTGTCAGGAAGTAGCACAGTGATGTGCCCAAATCTTTGCAGCCCCCCTCCTGTGCCATCCAACCCATACATCACAGCCCCAAAGACTCCAGGACGGGACATAATCCTACCTCCAAGAGCCATAGTCCACAGAAGGAAAACTCAAACAACCACCTCACAGCCTCTGTTCTGCGAGTCCCTCATGGGTTCCTCTCCCTTGAGCCCATCTGAGTCCTCATCTGACTCTGCTGATGGGAGGCCCATGTGGATCAGGTCAGGTGTGAGGATGAAGCCTCTGCAGGGACTGGAAAACATGCCCGGACTTCTAGATGAGGAGAATAGGAGAGAGACAGAGAAATCCTCACTGAGGAGAAAACATCTGAGGAGGCTAAAGAGGAGAATCTTTAAAAGACAGAAATACCTTAAAAGAATCACAGGTCCGCCTCGTTCCTCTTGTTGCCGTCCTAACAGGTGGAGTTCACTCCGTGAGGAGAGGAGGATAATTCATCGGGTTTGGAAGGAGGGCCTGGATGAGGAAGATTCGAGGCTGCTGCAGTGCACATACGAAAAGTTACAGGAGGAGGATAATGGCTTTGGGTGGCTGAATGACACCCTGTGGATACCTCACCCTCATATCCTTTATGACATGGTTTCATTTTTTAATTGCATATTAGATTAAATTAAATTTAAAGCATTAATTTAAGGATTGTGTCAGAAATGATATAAACTAATATTTCCAGGAACTGCCTTTCCTTTCACACAGGACATGCTCGTCACAGCAGGAGATCATCTGTGTAAGACGCACTCTCATGATCTTAAATATACGCCTTTTTTTTAGGAGGGGCGGTAGCTTGTGCAGGAGGAGGAATTTTTAAGGCAATTGAAGTGAGCCGTAGAGAGTTTAAAGTAGAACAACCTCACTCAGCGATGGTATCATCCTCCCTATTTCCCATAGACTACAACCTGCTGTGGTCTCACATGGACCCACTCAGCATTTTACTATTGGGCTGGCAGGAAAAAAGTTGGCATAAAGTCAGAGTTCACAGATTTGGTCATTTGCGTTCACACATGCACCCCACCTGGACAGTGTTACATGACATTTTACAAGCGTGAAATGCGTGCATGTGTGAAAGCGTCTTAAGTAACTGGAAATGTATAAAAAATGTGTTGTGGAGTCATCGAAAGTTCTGCTTTTAAAGCATCATTTAACACATGAATAACCTTATTTGATTGGTAAACAGTGCTGTGTAATTAATGTACTGTATTTGACATCCTTAACCGCTTCTCACTGACCAAAGTTGTTCCTGAGACAAGTGATGAACACAATCCCTGGCTTCCCCACCACAGGACTGGCTCTGCTCGCAGTGAAGGATTCTACAGAATCAGCAAGACAGATAAATTAAAGTATCTCATCAACACAATGCTGACCACTGAGCTTCCATCTAGGAGTACTCAGGTATGAAAGAGGGTAAGGTTTGATGATCCAGTGCCCAGATATTATCATCCAGTCAATGCATAATGTCAGTGTGTATATCTGCAGGGGAAGTGCATCCCAGCCCAGCAGCCGACCTCCCTGCGAGCTGGATCAGACTTCAGGTCTGAACAGCGACGTCTGCTGTCCTCGTTCAGCTGTGACAGTGACCTGGTCAAGTTCAACCAGCTAAAGGTAAGTCAGGTTAAACTCAAAAGTAGGGGCAGGGGTGTCCTAGTGATTAGTTTGTCAACCCCTTGTACAGAGGATGTTGTCCTCAAAGCAGGAGCCTGGGCTAGAATATAAGATGTCATTCCCCACCCTCTCTCTTCAATGTCCGACTATATCCTCTCTCCTGTCTCTCAAGTAAAAGGCATAAAAAGCCCAGAAATTAATCTGAAATAAAACAACTCAAAAGTAGGTAATTATTATAATAATGATAGTAATAATAATAACAATAACCTTAAATTTCACAGCTTTTTTTACTTACAAAAGGCTTCATAAAGACGCATAATGAAAACACAGGTAGCAAAGATTTAGAAATAACAAATATGCAACAGCATAAGGATGGATGATGGATGGATGGATGGATGGATGGATGGATGGATGGATAGATAGATAGATGGATAGATGGATGGATGGATGGATGATAGATAGATAGATGGATAGATGGATGGATGGATGGATGGATAGATAGATAGATGGATGGATGGATAGATGGATGGATGGATGGATGGATAGATAGATGGATAGATGGATGGATGGATGGATGGATGGATGGATGGATGGATGGATGGATGGATGGATGGATGGATAGACAGACAGACAGACAGACAGACAGACAGACAGACAGACAGACAGACAGACAGACAGACAGACACTTTATTCACACACAAGTTGAACAAACAGTTAAAGGACAATGCTAATCGTTAAAAACAGGACTACAAACAGAGATTCAGGAATAATTAAAGATGAATAAAAAAACAGCACATCTTTTTGGTCATGTTACTCCTCATATCTCTTTAAATCAGTTCCGGAAGAAGAGAATTCGTTTCACCCGGAGTCATATCCACGAGTGGGGCTTGTTCGCAATGGAGCCTATAGCAGCAGATGAGATGGTGATTGAGTATGTGGGCCAAATCGTCAGACAGGTAAGACAACTTTAACTGATAACAAGACTTTAAAAAAAGTTCACAACACACCCATCTGGATAACACAGATGGGCTTTTAATCAAGCTGCTATTCCCAAAAGTATTTCATCTTATTGGCTCAGTTTTCATCTTGGGTCCTCTGGTTGTCTGAGGTACTTTCCTGCAGTGTGAGATGAGCTACAGTGATAAATAACAATCTGTGATCCTTTTCTTTCAGGTCATTGCTGACATGAGGGAGCAGAGGTACGAGGAGGAGGGCATTGGGAGCAGCTATTTGTTCCGGGTTGATCAGGACACCATCATTGATGCTACTAAATGTGGGAATTTGGCCAGATTTATCAACCACAGCTGCAATGTAAGTAAAGGAGAGAGATCAGATTAGGATTAGATGAGATCACTATTTAGTTAAAATGATCCTCATTGCTTGACTTGCATCTGATTTTTATTCTGTCTTGCAGCCCAACTGTTATGCAAAGATCATCACTGTGAACTCTCAGAAAAAGATAGTGATTTACTCCAGGCAGCAGATAAGCGTGGACGAAGAGATCACGTACGACTACAAGTTTCCCATTGAGGACACAAAGATTCCTTGTTTATGTGGAGCAGATAGCTGCCGTGGCTCCCTGAACTAAAGAAGTGTCCTGATTATGTGAAGAGCCAAAGTAGCCCGGCGGTAGTGCACAATGTAAACACAGACACTAAAGATGTTTGAAAGCATCCATTTTTAATATGTGAAAAATAAGCAGTCATTAAGTGTCTGGAGGCCAAACTGGAGCTGATGGAAGCAGAGGAGTGATGCTGCTGCTCAGTGATGAAGGGTTTCATTATGGGACCACACACCTGGAACTTTATCAGTGGAGGTTTGACATGACTTTTAATGTGTCACCTACAACTACTGTGAAAAACGACATCCTCATTTTCTGGCTAAACATTACAAATCACCACATTCATTTTCACATTACAGTCTACGTAAACATGGCAACACATGTCAACATCCATATTGTTGTCTCATCCTATGGGAGGGAAGGACATCATGCAGAAGCCCTCGGTTAGGATTAATTGTTTTTGTTTTGTTCAAATGTTAACAAAAATGTCTTTCATTTACGAGAGCTTGAATTGTGTTTTTGCTTGAATCAAGCTTGTATCGATAATATGGATTTTCTCTTCAACATTTTATACATAGTTTGGCATTATGAATGTTAAACCTTTGACATACTCTTTTTTGTTCACAATTGTAAATAGAACATCAAGAAAATTATGTTTAATAAGAAACAGGAGAGACTATAATGAAGTCATGTTCAATCCACATTTATCTCTTTAAATGATACATTGTAAAAAACAAACAAACATGTAACTCAAAGAATAAAAGAATAACAGCTTTGATAAACATGCTGTGTGCACTTCCATGTATTGTGTATCCAACAATATAAGATCGATTATACCAATTAAAAGCTAAATAAGTCCACAAACAGACTCTTAAAGTACATTTATTGCTGATTAAACACGTATCAAATGTTACTCGAAATTCCATTTGGTGTCAGGACAGTCAGGTTTCCTCTTGCATGCTGGTCCGCTTCAATGGCTTGAAAAAGAGACTTGAAGTTTCCTGCACCAAAGCCCTGCCAAGAAAGGATGTACTTAAGTAACTTTTTTTTTTTTTTTTTTTTTTGTGCAAACAGTGATCACTTGTGTTGTCATATGAAGACATCAAATCATGCACTGTCTGTTCCCTCTTGCACAAGTTGTCATCCGTGCAGTGGCGCCCTCACCTGGTGGTTGTGTCTCTGAATGACTTCCAAGAACACAGTTGGCCGATCCTGAACCGGCTTGGTGAAGATCTGAAGTAAATAGCCGTTATCGTCGAAGTCCACCAAGATCTTCAACTCCTGGAAATGAATAAGATCACATCTGTTCTTGAAAGGTGCTTTAAAAATAAACTTATATTAGAGCGAATGTCTGTTGTAAAATAACAAACAAAAAAACTTAACATTAAGGTACATTTCACCATTAACAAGTTGCTTGTTAGCATGCATATTGGTTTGAGTATTTGTAGAACATAGGAAAATAAGGAGCTGTTGCTTTTGAATGACTAAAGAGGAGTCTGCCTGCTACTGATGTGCTTCAATAAGCTTCTAGTTAATGGTTTGTATGTATACCTTGATAAAACAGTTTAACAAGAGGCGGCAGAAAGCAGTGTTGTCAATAAGCATTTACTGTATATTTGTGAAATACTATATTACTTTCATTGATCAAAAATCATAATGGATCCAACTGTGAAACTAAACATTGAAACATAAGGTTCCCACTGCATCATTCCTCCAATTCAGTCAAAGTAAGATCTTAGTTCTGACCTGCAAAACATCCAGATCCTCTGACACTTTGACCTTTGAGTTTTTCAGGTTCTCCCTCAGCTGGTCGTAGTAAGTGTCCGGTACACACATGAACTCCATCCCTCGCTCCTTCAGGTTACGGATCTGTAAATCAGGGATTCATCAGAGCATCATCAGGGCTGCTTTAGGGATAAATCTACACACTAAAGCTAAAGAATATTTAGTAAACTCACTGCAGTGATGATGTCTGATGTGTTCATGGCGATATGCTGCACTCCTGGACCTCCATAGTACTCCACATACTCCTAGTAAAGAAAATGCTGCCTGTTAGTTAACCATTGCTGAGGGACTAATTGTTTCTTGTTGAAGCGTGTGATCATACCTGAATCTGAGACTTTCTCTTCCCCATGGCCGGCTCGTTGATGGGCATCTTCACCGTCTCCTCATAGTTTGCAACCACGATGGAGCGAAGGGCACTGAACTCTGTCTGAAGCTGCTTATCATCCACCGACCAGAAGCGGTGGAAGAGGAGGTTTCTTTGATACCTAAAGGATCAGAAACCATAGAATAAGACATGTAAGTTTGAACATGGCTGCAAAAGTAAAACATTATGTATAATAAATAATCATTCAAACTCTTTCAGCCATTATGCTTTTCACTGTGGACTACTGAACAAAAATGATTGACGTTTTGAGCTATGAGCCGGCTCCACAAAAATGCTCCAGGCTTTTGTTACTCCCTTCTTTCTAGGATTGACCAATGAGCTCCCTCATTTAGAGATCTGCCTCCCCCTCCGCCTTTCATGCCTGTATGATGGGCTTAAAACAAGATCCAGATGTAGAGAACTGCTGGAGACCCACTTTAAAAAACGCAAAGTCATTGTGATCCCTGATGCCAGTAAAGCAGAGTTATGCAAGAATTGGACACCGTTTGACCCCTCCTATCCCCCATCACACCGTCACATCCCAACACAACAGATCACAACACAGAGAGGTGTAGAAAATGTAAATTACCATTCAACCACAGGAACCATCTCATCATCTGGTTGGTTTCCTACAACGTGATCAATGAAGTCCAGCTTTCCACTTGGTCTGCGTGGAAAAACAGACACATGCAAACAATGAGTTACTGCATTTGTTGTAATACTCCCTTTTTTTTATTTATTTGTCTTGTAGGAAACATAATAACTGATTCACACTCACAGTTTGGATAATAGAGGGTCCTTGAACAGAGGGGGGTTGAAGCCTGGCAGAAACAGGCCGGTGTAACCTGTCCTCTCCACAAATGTGTGTGTGGTATCACCGTACTGCAGAAAACAAAACAAAGTTTGAGAGTCATTTTCATGATGTGTTCAATTGAAAAAGAGACCATGATATTCACACCTAGTTCAAAGGATTCACACTGACTAATGTCTCTTACGGTCTGAAGCACAGCCAGCCGGACTTTGCCTTGCTTGTCCTCCAGCGTGTGCGGCTCCTTTATAATAACTGCACCTCGCTCTCTGGCTTTCTGTGGAAGAGGACGTGTGAAAAGTGCATCATGTACTTGAACATATGAATCCAATAGCATAAATTGCAACCTTAAAAATGTAGTTTTACCTGCACAAGGAAGTCACAGTCCTGCACTGTAAATGCAATATCCTTCACTCCATCCCCATGCTTCACTAAATGATCTCCCATCTCTGAGAAAAGATCACAACATGCTCTTTAGCTGCACAAAATCAACAATGTGTTAAGTGTCTTTCTCAGCACCTAAAATAACATAAATGTAAGTAAAATGTATTTATGAATATTATACTACTTGACTGTTGCAAAGCCCACACCACTAACTGGATACAAAATAACTTGTATGTGATATTCTGTATTGTTCTGCACACTAGAGAGTTTTTGTCAGAATACATCAGGATGTTTTGGTATAATTCTGTTATTCTGACCATTACATGCAAGTATAATGAATGGAATTCCACTGGCCTGCTAACCATTAGTGTTCAATAATAAAATAGAGATTTGCATTGTTAGAAAAAAATAATTCTCACACAATTCTTTTTGTGTGTCCGAATGATGCTTTGTTAGATGATTTAATATTCTGGGTAACACTCAGTTTACACTTTGCACTGATCTTGTTTTTATTATGATGACATTTGAGATGGTTTGATGACATTGAGAACAAAGCTCCTGATCAGTTTTGTACCTTTGTTTCCAGGATTCAGGGCGGAGGAGAACACATAAATGATCTGTGAAACACAACAGAAAAAACATGGTTCCATTTATTTGATTGTTGCCACTTAATTACAATCTGATAACTTTAAATGTAGCTCTATAATCCCTTTTACTAAAGAGAACTATACATTATGACATTACATTTCACACATTTCCTTTTCAAGTGTGAACACTAAAACACCAATTCAACCTGCTTCAAACTTCATTGACACTTTTGTTTTGTCACAGTTAAAACAATCTTCAGATGTATTTGTGTTCTCACAGTTTAAAGTGTTTAACTTCCAGGTTCTGTGTATTCTTTACCTTTCCTTGTCTGACTGCGTGGGACACCACATCTCGACTGCCTGTCTCCAGACCCTGGTAAGCCAGAGGCTCAAATCCCAGCTTGTTACAGTAAAATGAAGCAGCCTGAAAAATATGATTTATATTTTATTCAGCAGCAACTAATGCCTGTTATATTATAGAGTACACATGAATATGGTAAAATATACATAAATATATATGGTAGTGCCTTGTACATTCTCATAGCGCCACCTCCTGGTGACTTGTGGAGATGTATTCAGTTAGTGCTGTGTTAAAATGTACAAAGTGCTCTGTGGTTATCCACACTGAGTCCCCTCCACCCCTCAGGAGAACCAATAGCCTTGCTGTGTCTAACATCTACCCCTCCATCTGTGAGGAAAAATGCTTGAATAAAAAGTAATTCTTAAACAAAAAAGTAAAAGGTGTCTTACCTGTTTTGCATTTCCAACCCAAAATGTTAAGTGGTCGAAGCAGAGGAACCTGCCCTGCTCATGCTAAAGACAGGAAGAAATGATAATGTAATCACTGACAGTAGTTACTTCTTTTTTTCACACTTTTATTGTAATAAGTTAATAAGTTACCAAGTAACCCAAAGGAAAATACATTCTCTATTGTTGTCTGCATTATTACTGAATCTATACTTTTTCATCTCTGCTCAATAGTGGAAGCAATATGTTCAGGTTACCTACCTTTTCTCCTTTATCTGTGTATGTTGTCTGAAATGAAGAAAAACATCAAAAAGTCAACCAATTACAAATAAAAAAGACGAGTGCTAGCCATTTAAAACGACTCAACAGTGAAGGGTAACTCACCATTTTGCTCCGGTGACCTAACCTGGCTGTCAGTATGAAATGTACAATGAAGTTCAGAATTTAAACGCTGAAATTGATGTTCACTGAGTCCA